ATGTTATAATCCAAATGTTTTTTTTAAACAAAAGTTCAACCTAATATTTGGGGCTTTAGACCCTTATGTTATTTTCTTGGTCATTAGAATCCGTTGAGGCCAAACCCTTACCGTATTTATTCCAATAAGCGCCCAACCTCCAATTAGCGCCCACCCCCATCCAATCCCCTTAAACACAAATAAGCGCCCACCCTCACCTCAGCCCCTTCCCCCTCCCACCACCCCAAATATTGAATAACAGAGTATTGTACAGAAACGTTGCTTTGTTACATCTTCGCTTTTTTATTACCATTTATTGTTTTGTTGCAAAATAAACATACTACACTTGCTAAAAATGGTGAAAATTTAATACCGTATTTATTCGATTAACCGCCCTGGGCGCTTATTAAATTTCTGGACCTTGAGAGTGGGCGCTTATTAAATTTTCACCATTTTCAGCAAGTGTAGTATGTTTATTTTGCAACAAAACAATAAATGCTAATAACAAAACGTGAAGAAGTAACAAGGCAAGGTTTCTGTAAAATACTCTGAAGAAAACTCCGTCCTCGGGGAAGTCTCTTATTAGAATTTATTCACTCAAGTGGGTGGGGTGGGGGTGAGCGCTTATTTGAGTTTGATTGGGAGGAGGAGGGGGTGGGCGCTTATTAACTTTTTCTGCCCTTAGGGTGGGCGCTTATTCGACGTGGGCGCTAATTCGAGGTTGGGCGCTTATTCGAATAAATACGGTAAGCGTCCAGCCTCGAATAAGCGCCCACTGTCAAGGTCCAAAAATTTAATAAGCGGCCAGGGCGGTTAATCGAATAAATACGGCATGCAGTTTCCTATCAAAAAAGGAATACAAAAATATCAAAAACTAAACGTTCAGTTCACTTCACAAAAACTCTTGCACTGACAATATGAACAAAACTGTTCACAGTCCCTTATTTTTCCAAAAGATCGTCGAGATATTGCGCGTCCTACCGTTAATGGCGGCCATCTTGATTTTCAAGTGTACTGAGGAGGCGGGCGTCGGGGATTATAGCTCTAGGTGGAGGGAGACGAATTTTTTTTTCTTTCCTCCTCCCAAACCGTCCCCGCCCCCTAAGCAGATTAGACACTCATCCAAGATGGCCTCCCGTAACCGAACTCTTCAATCTCAACGGTCTTACGGAAAAATAGGGGACTGTGAACAGTTGCTGCCCAATTGTTGGTTTTCACATGACGTCACTAAAATTCAAACTAAAAAACTATCGATCCTACCGGGATTTTACTTTTACGATGCATTAGAGCAGCTGAAAACTAATTTTCATCCAAGTTTTCGCTTCAAAAGGGTTCTTGGTTTTGTGATAGAGTACGCTTGTATTCCTAAGCTTTTGCGTGACGCGGCATTTACATGACGGCCAAAAGAGCTGTCATGAAGGTTAAAAAAATGACTTATTTCCGGAAATTTTGCTATTTAAACAGTTCATGTATTAGGAGAAGTATTACTTTAATGCTTTTCTAGGAAAACTCGGTAACAGATGTTTCTGTTGGTTTCGGTCCGCCATGTTGGAGCTCATCCAGGTGAGCACCAGCATGGCGTCTCCATACAAATCTATATAAGGTTGGGTAAAACATTTCTTTTGATATCTCGTATACGAAATATTCCTCTGACCTGAATCTTGGCGAGGGTCTTTGTATATGTACTTCCTTTCATTTCCCAGATTCTGGACTTTATCTATTGAACGGTTTTGATTTTTATTTTGATCTATTTCGAATGGCGTGACACCGAAAACCAGCAATAAATTTCCGATTCGGACGGACTAAGAAACCTTAATCTACCCATGAGAATTGAGCGGAAAATGTTTTTGACATGAAATTGAACCCACGTTTTCCAATTAAATCAAAGGAAAATTCTGGAGTGGGCAGGTTGCCGGGGGAGGGGGGGGGTACTCCATCATATAAGCCATATAGGTATGTGCCCCCATCGGGTAGGGGTTTTGCGCCTTTTTGGTCTGAAAACGGGTATACACTTTGCCCCGTTTGGTCTGGAATCGGGTGTGGTTTTCGAAGGAACTACTGGAGTGTATGAACGTATTTTACGGCGGCGGAACAAAACAGAATCACAAAACTCAAAACAAAATCACAAAACCCAAAACAGAATCACAAAATTCAAAACAGAATCACAAAACTCAAAACAGAATCACAAAATTCAAAACAGAATCACAAAATCCAAAATAGAAACACAAAACTCAAAACGGAATCACAAAACTCAAAACAGAAATACAAAACTCAAAACGGAAACACAAAACTCAAAAGTGAAAAAGACACACAAAGGGCAAAACATAGACGCACCCTCCTCCCCCACCATTCCTCGATCTCAATTAAACCGGAAAAGGAGAGAGGAACCGTAAGAGAGAAAAAACAAATTTTGGTGATGAGAAGGAGCCTACAGACAGTTTTTGCTCCACCGAGCTTCAACTTCCACATCTTTTAATCCTTTTGTAGCCTTAAATGTACCCACACTAATTTAGAACCAGGAGACAATTTTAGGATCCTGTCCAGAAGACACATACTAAAAAGAGACAACAATTTTGACTAAAGGAAATGGGCTGCTTCGTGTAGATCCGGCCAGAAAATTTCCATACCCTCCTGACGGAGAGCAACAAAAAATCCGAAGAGAGTAGGCCCAAAAGAAGGCAATTTTCGAGGGGGTGGGGGTGGCTTTGCAAATAAGATTGGCGAGTTATTATTTGTTCTTTGGCAATGGCTCACCGTTCATTGTTTGCTAAGAAAATAATCTGCAATACAAAAGTGAGTTTATTACACCATGTATTAACATGAATAAGAAATTTTTTTCTCACTTTATAGAAACAATGACATTTCGCATTCAGCCTTTTTGACGAAAAAAATCTTTCCAGGGGGCTCCCAACCAAGACGGAAAATCACAGAGATTCCAGGATGGTACAGAAATTCTAAGGGAGTGGGGGTCAACGCATTACAACAATTTCTCTTGAATTTTGTGAACTAGATAAGGAAAAACAACTATTATGATAATACACCGATAGAGAAACAATGCAATTATGCAAAAGAAAATGCTTGCATTACTTTTTGATTAAATTTCTTCGTTGGAAGATGTATCAAACCGGACTGGGAGAGGCGACGAAGTGCATAATTTTTTGAAATACCGGTACATGCTGTACATTTTCGGCTGTTGTAGGGTTTACACACTCGTAAGCGTAGGCTGATCCGTCTTGAGAAGGCCAAAGGGCGGATGGGAGTGGGGATTATCGTCAAACAAGGAAATCGGGTGCAGAGGGCGCCTGGGACTCTAGGGTCAACGTATTACAACAATTTCTCCTGGATTTTCTGAAATACATAAGGTAAAACAACTATTAAGAAAATACACCGAGAGAGAAATTAAACAATGCATGCAAAAGAAAATGTTTACCGCATTGCTTTTTGATTAAATTTCTTCGTTGGAAGATGTATCAACCGGACAGGGGGAGGCGAAGACGTGCTTAATTTTCTGAAATACATGCTGTTCAGGCGGTCTAGAATACTTCTTATACGGGTGAGGAACGCAAAGGCTGATAGAGTCAAACAATAATGACGTGTTTTTCCTTAAACGGCGTTTCGATATCTTAAATGTATTTTGATAATTGTTCATGTTGTAAATGCGAGTGTTTTTGAATGTTTCTCACGTATATCACATCTGTATCAAATTATCGAAATATTAAGACCTATTAAGCATTCCCAACATGCATGAAAGTGATCATTATCTTGAAAGAAAATGACAGGATTATTAGTGACAAAAAGGAGATTGCCAATCTCCTTAATGACTACTTTGTTCACATTGCTGACAGCATGCCTGAAATACGAGCAGAGGATTACGGTGAGGATTATGCAAATCATCCCAGCATCAAAGCAATCCATGAACACAGGGGCTCTAGTGCCCCAGCTTGCTTCAGTTTTCATCGCGCAAGTGAAACCCAGGTTGAGCTATTACTAAAAGAGATCAATGTACGTAAGTCACCTGGCCACGATATGATCCCACCAAAGTTGATTAAAGAAGCGGCAGCTGTTATTGCGCGGCCTATAACAAGTATAATAAACTGTTGCATTGAACATTGCTGTTATCCTGCTAGCTGGAAGATGGGCATGGTTACTCCTCTGTACAAAAAAGACGACGAGTTTTGTAAGATCAACTATAGGCCCGTAACTGTGCTCCCTGCTCTAAACAATATTTTTGAAAGGCTTCTATCGGGGCAGATGTATGAATTTTACAATGGGGTCTTATCAGACTTCATAAGCGCTTAGAGAAAGTTTTATAGTTGCGAGACCTCTTCGCTAAGGTAGACCGAGGACTGGAGAATGATGTGTGACAGAGGGGAGCTTGTTGCGGTAGTTTCTATGGATCTCTCCAAAGCGTTTGATGTTATTCAGTATCCACTCCTCCTTTCGAAACTGAGGGCCTATGGTATGGAATCGCCCCATGTAAGGTAATCCAAGAGAGTCTTGGATTCCGGATTCCACGCTGTGGATTCCGGATTCCATGCCTGTGGATTCCGGATTCCACATCCGTGGATTCCGGATTCCATAAGTGGCTGGATTCCAGATTTCAAAATTCTATTTTCTGGTTTTCAACGTTTCCTTTGTACTTTGTTTTCACCAAAAAAGCTTGTTCTTTTTTTACCCGAAGTGTACATTGTCTTATATAAAATATAAGTATAAAATATAATTCTTGGCCTTACCCGAGAGGATTATGAATATAGGAGCGGTTTCTGAAGTCCACTGAGTCCACATCGTTGAAGAAATACTAACGAGGAAGGGCTATTCTTATTTTAATAATAACAACGGCGTCAACAATAACAAAAGAGGTACACATTGCCAAAATCAGTGCTTTTCAGGTTCAAACATAATTCATCTCCGAATTGTTTAATTGCCACACAGAAATGTAAAACGTCAGTTACAGCTTACCAACAAATAGCGTGAAGATAATCCACTTACTATACTACAAGCCACGCAGGCAACGGAAACGTTTATTTTAGAATAAACCGTGTCGTTCTCCGTCCTGATAAACTGACTCCCGGCAGTCTTATCGGGAGGGATACTTCTCCCTCATCCTCTGCAGTTGGTGGTGCAGTTTCATTCTCATTGTCATCATCGTCACCGTAGTCCCTATTAGCAATTCGACAGAGCCTGTTATCCTCCTCTGTTGTTAAAATGATGTCTGATCCATCGGAAGAAAAGTCGAGTACTCGGGTTAGAATGCACTTGGGGGAATTCCCATTACAGACATCACCGGAGGTGTATGTTAGTGAATCACTTGTTTGGTTTAGCCACTTTAGGGATACTCTTTGCTGCACGAACTTTCCACCATTCACTTCTATTTGTACATCCTCCAGAAGAACTGCTAGCCAGAAGGGTGAGATCTCTCTTCTACGGTTGTGTCTTACTGCCAATATGTCGTCTTTCTGGTAAATGGTTTGCACCCGTACAGCCGTACTCCGCAATGCCACATTAGCATCCACAACTTGGCAGGCTGTTGTTACGTCTTCGCTTTCCTCTAATGAGGCTGTGATGGTAGTGGGACACATACTAAGGGCATAAGGAAGGGTGCCAGTTAGCTCTTTCGTTTTTGAGCGGACATTTTCCTGTCTTACGCCTCTTCCATACTCCTTAGCAAATTCTCGCATCACGGTTTCTCGCCTTGTGTCTTCTTCTTTGCTACCTGTTCCTTCAGTGATTGCTGACAGCTTGTTTGGTCGCGTCTTGATGTTTGGGCGTTCACCTTTGATAATTTTCTCCGGATAATATGAATTGGGCCCAGTGAAATATGAGAAATTCTTCTGGTAAATGCGCAGCATATCGTCTTCCACGCAGCGCGCTTTTCTGTAAGCGTAGTTAGCCACTGTAGGCATGTCGTGGTCTGCTCGCATTCCTTTGAAATAGCATTCCACGCCCAAAGTTGTCATACTTTCGAAACAGATCCTGTTCAGAAGGTGACTATGCCCAATCTCCGTTAGCGTGTTGGTAAGGCTGGTCAGCGATTCTAGCAATATGAGGAAGGACTGTCGGGTGCATCGAGGTATGGTCATGTCGGGACCGTTGGTATTTCGCTTGCCCGTCCTCTCCAGGGCTTCCTGTTCGTGGTTAGAGAGAAATGCAACCAACTCCTCGACAGATTTCACATGATCTTCAAATGTACGTGGTAGGTCTTCTTCTTTGGCTTTCTTGTCGAGTCGGAACACGTTTGCATATTGGGCCATCTTACTTTGCAGGGGGATCAGTCCCTTTGCTGACGTCAACATTCTTATTGCTACGTTACCGGTATCGCATACGAAAACAGTGTTTCGATATACGCATAAAGCAGTAGGCTTGTTCCATCGACTTTGGACACCATCACGATGGCCTGCAGTTTCTCCACACACTTTTGTTAAGGTTTCCTTACCCCCAAGCATCTCTTCTTCCTTCAAACTGAACAGTGCGTGTTCTTTGCTGGAGGACAAGAACACGGTTCCACCATCTGTCACTGCAATACCCATGAGGCCTGGAATATTCGAAATTGTTCTCAGTTTCAATCGTCCTCTCACTTGACAAAGATGAATACATGAACCATTCCCGTCTCCAACTAACAAGTATTGCTCGTCACGTGTTAAGGCTAATAAAGTTAATAAACTAGATCGATCAAAACAAAACAATTCATTTAACTGGCCAACGCAGTTAGTTTCCTCATCGTCTACAACACCAGAAATTGAAAAAATCTTGCCAAGACCAACGTCTGACATAAACAGTTCAACGCTACCCTTTGCAGACGCACATATGGCAAATGGTGACACCAGATCCGGTACATTACCTTTAGAAATAAGGGAAAGATCGTGTACATGGACTTTACGGATACGTCTACCGGCGCAATCCTCTTCCTCACTTTGGCTTTCTTCGGCGCTCCCTTGTACAATCTAGGAAGCGTGACAGAAAAGCGTTCGCAAATTGACTACTCTAACTCTTCCGTTTCCTTGGTCACAAATGTACAGCTTCCCGCTCTCTTTCACCGCAATACCAGCTGGGTTTCTAAATCTGGCCTTGTTGCCATATCCATTAGTGTGCCTGGGCTCACCACCACCAGCGATGAATGTGACATTTGCTGGACAGTGCATGTCAATCATGAAGACTGCATGGAGACGTCTATCGGTAATAAACAGCCTGCTATGCTTTGGGGAGAATGCCAATCCTACCGGGTAGCTTAAAAGAGAGGCCCCGTTCTTTTTCCAGTGCTTGAATTCCAGTTCTGGAACTAATGTTGTGCTCACTCTTTCATCTGGAATGGAATCTTGAATCGCTTTCCGGTGAATCTCCACTGCTGTTTCTACATCCATCCGATCTTTGTTTCGAACTGCTTTCAATGGAACTGATTTCTTGATGTCTTCGTATTCTCTACGTAGCACCAAAAGCAGCCTTACATTCACTAGGTATCCATCAATGTCAATCCAATGCCAAAACTCTGCAGAACGTACTGACTTGATGTTGTGTGGGCAGTCAGGAATAGGGACTTGGTAGGGGTACTTCGCCCTGTCTGCTAGCATGGAATTCATAAAGCTCTTTTGCTTGGGATCGCAGTCAGCGAATTTATAGACGTACGTACCTTTCCGAGTCATGCTTTTTCTTGTGCTTCCCCATGCTGACAAAGATTGATAACGATCGATTGAGAAAAAAATTCAAAGTGATCTCTCGAGATGTCTGATTTCGACTGATTGAATCTGGACTGAATGAAAGACACCACGTCGACACCACGTGCAGCATGTCATTCTTTGAGTGACACTGATGACATGTGCCAGTAACTGCAACCACAGCGACTACTGATACTACGGCCAAGAATAAGGATACTTTATATTATTATTCTTTTGACGTTACCCGAAATCCAAAAATTAGTTCCAACTGCGCCCAAACAGGAAAAGAATCTAAACCTCCGACTCCAAAAGCGCAACGGGGAAAAAGGTCGAAAGGCCCGGTCGAAAGGGTGTCTTATAAAGAGCGATAATATACAGTAATATGAATCACTCCCTGGGATTCTGTCACGTCATTATAATGTGACCATTGTTTCAAATTGATACCCGATATGTCACAATGACAAGGGATGTTCCTGCGAGGGAAACACGCGTGAACATGCCTGTTGCGCGTCCTTGCGACATGAGATTTTCACGCAACAGTCGCTAAAGGAAAAGAAGAGGCCCTGGAACCATCACCACAGAGTGGATTCCAGCAACCTGGATTCTGGATTACAATGCTTGGATTCCGGATTCCATTAGCTGGATTCCGGATTCCAAAGCCGTGGATTCCGGATTCCACAGACCAAAATTACCTGGATTCCGGATTCCGGATTACCTTACATGGGGCGATATGGAATGTCACTTCAACGGGGCGACCAGGACTACACTGTCTTTGACTATTTTGTAGCTGGCCCATCTTCGTCCAGGGCAATACCACTGGATGTGGAAGACCATGACATGAGAAAGAAAATTGAAAAGGTAAAACTGGCAGACGCGCGTCTACATGATTAATGATAACTGGTAAATAGAAATAAAAACGTTAGCGAGATACTTTAAAAAAGGGAAAAAAATTGACACAGCATCAGCCTAACTGAATTTTAATTTCAGGAATCGCAGAAATGTTAAAATAGACTCTCTTCAAGCTTATTCGTTTCGTGAGGAGACTCGGGTTATCGGAGACGTATGATCAGCGCGTCTCATCAATCCAAGTCCTTCAACACGGGATGCCTGTTTTTGCCACTTTATTTTTAGCGCATTAACCTTCCCGCAGCTATCATCAGCTTACATGCTCTTTTTGTTTTGCAGATATCTGAAGCTGTCAGTAAGAACCAATTTGATCGAGTAGTAAGGAAGGAGTCTGAATTCATTATCGAGTGTGGAATTAGTAAAATTAATTGGGATTTTAGTGAAAAGAGCGAACTAGAGTTATTACTGTCTAAAAGTTTAGTCATTTATCGTAACAAGGCAGCCTTAGATCAGTTTCTTGAAGGCCTTCAGCGGGTAGGCCTTCAAAAATATGTCAAGGAAAATCCAACAGAGCTTCATTAAAGACGCGTTTCGTATGTCACTCTTTCCTCTTCCTTTCGGAAATTGCTGAGGATAAACTGTTCAGATCCTAGCAGCAACAGAGGCAATCAGGCAAGAGATGAAAAGAGGCCACCATTTTATGGTGGGAAGAGTTTTTGGACAATCTGGATCAGTCTTATCCACTAGGACTTCTCCCGCAGCTTTTAATTTTCATCACAGGTGCCGACAACATTCCCGTTTTGGGATTTCCCAAAAAATATTGACATCGCGGATTTTTTTGATATAGAACCCAGGTCACGTCGTTTTCCTATGGCTTCCACTTGCGCCTACACTTGCAATTGCATGCTAAGAGGCATTCATTTTTTGATGAATTTGAGGGACTTACTGTTCGAGCTTTAAAAGAGGGTTCCCATGGTTTGCTAAACTTTAGGAAACGTTAAACTACGAACGTGGGTTTTCAACAAAGGGACCCCCTTGGTGGATTATTGATCTAAAGTTACTGTAACAGTATGATAAAGGATACAATTAAGAAGGCTGTATTTTGCTCGATTTAAGGAAAAGTATGTGTATTGCGTAGTGAAGCAACCACAGAAGCTATTTTATACATAATGTTCATTCAAAAATCATGTATTACTTACTAGTTAAGTGCTAAATTGTCAATAAACTTGATTACTCTAATACTCTATTCTTCATTGATATCTTACTTTAGCAATAAAAGGTATTTAGCAAGCATTTCTTCCTTGGCGTTATTCATGATGATTTATGCCAGATCGAAAAGATTGTCGTGAACATTCTAGTTATGGTCAATCGGAATGCCTCCTTTTCTTACTTTCTCTTAGATTGCATTGCAAGCTGCGAAAGGTTAAAGTATAGTTTCAGTGCTTCTTCCCAGTTGTTTGGCGGGAGATAGCCGGTATCGCGCAAAGGCATTGAAATCAGAGCTGCCACTCAAATTAACTGGTTTTCTGCACTGTGTTTTGGCCCGTAAAACTTTAACAGGCGATAAAGGCGTCAAAATGTCTTCACCACCTATAAGGAAAATTGAATTCACAACATCAAGTTACTAGTGAAAATAATAACAGCAAATTACGATAGAATGAGGAGCTATCTCAAGGAGAGAATGTTGCTTAGTAGATAGGTACCTAACAGAAAAACCAGTCACAAAACACTTCGAATTTTTACAAAAATTTGCTTACTACTTTCGTCCTGATTGGACAAAATCCTCTCTTTGTTGTATAATCCTTAAATGAGACTGTCTCAGGGTGAATACTGACGTAAAATATAAAAATCCATAGTTGGTTATTGGGTTTGCAAGTACGGAAAGGTAAACTCCTCGCATTATAGTAGGGTTGATGAGCTTGCTTTTACGGAAAGGCATTTACTCTTTGTATTATAGTTTTGACATACGATTTTGTTTTTACAGACAGTGACGGTCACATCGGCGCAGGATCTTTTGCTGACTAAAGCTGCTGAAAGACAAGAAATGAGAAAACAACAACTGAAAAACTATTGCTTAGAACATAATGATCAAAAGTTACCCTGGGATAAAAAACGAGAACTCCAGCAATTTCTCATCGACGATGACAATAAATTTATTTACTGTGCCGTTCCTAAGGTGGGAACCACACCCATGAGGATGACGCTACTGCGTTTGAGGAACGACAGCAGATTAAAACTTACGGGAGGTTCAGTTCATTCTCCTAAGTTTTGGAGACGTTTAAGTGATAAAGAATTCAACGCAACGGAGTTATCCAAGCGGCAAAATACACATTTCAAGTTTCTGTTTGTTCGCGAGCCGTTTCACCGACTTTTATCTGGCTACAAAGATAAATTCATGGGGAGAAACAGACGTTACACCAATCGATTTCGTAAACTGATAGTGAAAGCTTTGAGGCCAAAGGACGAGGAGAAGGTTGCAACAGAGACGAATAACGTTACATTCACCGAGTTTCTTACGTATCTCTTATCTGATAGAAACCCGAAGATTCGCGATGGTCACTGGAAGCAAGCACAAAAACTTTGCTTTCCTTGCGCTTTTGACTTCGACTTTATTGGCCATTTTGAGACGCTTCAAGAGGACGCCGATTATTTGCTGATCAAAACAGGTTTTAATGGCCGTGTTAAATTCCCAGTTGTACGCACGTCACAGGTTTCTAGTGATTTTTTGGAGTATTACTCAGAAGTTCCAAAGGAAATTATATTCAAGCTTGGAGAAGCTTTCAGAAGTGACTTTGAAATGTTCGGTTATGCATTCCCTGGAACTCTAAAAAGTTTACTCAAAAACTATTTTAGAAATAGTACCCAAGGTTAAAGTCCTTTTTTCGAAAAAAGATATGAGATTGGATAAATTTATTTTATTGCCAGGGTATTCAGCTGAAAGGATATTAATTAGTGCAGCCATAGAACAAATTGCAGGTTCAGCCTGCATTGCGAACAACTCCAACCTCGTCCCAAGCTACTTTTCTACTCCTCGAGCGAGAGAGAGAGTGGACCCTGGGAACGAGGTTGAAACAACCCCAACCAACGCTAACGCGTTTTCAAAAACCCTCTTCTTTTTCGTGTAACAAAAATCCATTGAAAGCTCTGCGTCGAGAAACGAAACTTGGCGATAAGTTTTTGTTTCCTGGATATTGGGAGCTTAAGCAATCACGACGACGGGCATTTGTCCGTTTCGTAAACGGTCGCTGCCACTTTTAAGACACTTAGAAATTTTTTGACTTGCCATTAAGAGAGTTTCTATTGAAAAAAAAAAGAAAATAGCAACCCAAGGTCAAACCCGGACCTCGCGCCGAACCCGTAACCTTTGTATCCTAATTTCTCTACAGCTAACCCTTACCACTACACTACCACACCGATCCGCCATCATTAAGGCCTGTCCCAATTGTGCTCGGCAACTTTTGAGCAACTTTTGGTGTTGGAGCAACTTTTTGTGTTCTAGCAACCTCGAGAAAAGTTTGCCTTTCTGAGCAACTTTCGAGCAAAATATAGGTTTAGAGTACATATCAAGCACGAAAAAGTCAACGATTTCATAGAAAACTTCAATTTTTTAAAAATTGTTTCATTTTTTTATTTTCATTATTTTCATTTTTTTTCTTGGCCGATGTTGGTAATTATTGTGAAGAACGAAAAATAAAGCTTTTAATTAACGTTTATGCAAAAATATCAACAAATTTAGGTAGCAACATTTTGGATTTTTGGCAATTTATTAGCAACTTTTTGGCATTCCAGTGAGCAACTTTCCAGCATTTTACGAGCACAATCAGGAAAGGCCTAATCTCAAGTCTGAAGCTCAAGTAGTAAACGAAAAAGAATTCGAGTTAAAGGGGTCTGAAATCTATAAAAGTAACACGCTGTTAGACTAAGAATAATTTTACTGACTACAAAGGAAAAGCTAAGGTGAATGGTACTTGAAAACACAACTGTTGCTAATTCTTTAAAACCGTTTCCTTTGTTTAGGTCATGCCACTCACTGAAATGTCAACTGTATTTATCTTGAAAAAAAGTGGGATTTCTTACAAAATATTTAATACCATTCGCTTTGGGATTTCTTACAAAACTATTAGATATTTAATTTCATTCGCGCTGCCATGTATGTTTTCTCTCTGTTATATAGTAATACAGTTGTGAAAACCAAAAATTTGGTCTCATGCCATTTCCTTTTTTTCTCTCTGTGTTAATCGTAGTTGTAATGTTTATTTTGTTCATTACTATAGTGTTTGTGTAACGTGTTATTTGTTAATCTGGAACCAAGATCTCTCGTCAACTTTGTCAATAAGAGATCTGGGCACGAGATTTCATTAGTAAGTTGAATAAAGTAAATTTAAAAAACGAAGAAGGAAAAAGAAATGTCAACTGTGTAAATTCATAGGGATGGTTTTTTGTTTCAAGAGGACAAGGAAAATTGCCCCCTATGTTACGTTCCACGTAAAACAATTGCTAGACACGCAAAGGAAAAAGAAACAAGCTGTAAAATGCACGAGCAAAAAGCAGTTTTTTTTGGCTCGTCAAAAGTTTGTTCTCATGGTGTTTCTGTTCTATTCTCACCGTGGTAATTTTAAAGCCTGACAAAAAACTCACCTGTTTGCACTTTTGTTTAAAAAAAGACCATATGAATTTCTTTGAGAAAAGTAACAAATTCTTTTTTCCGATATTTGTAGCATCTAACGCTACTTTTTGAAAAAATCTGAAATGATTCTCTGGTTATTGGGAGTGGAAATTTTAGCTTTCGTAGAAGCAGACGCTTGTTTTTTCCTGGGTGAAATGAAGCCTGAACTTAAGGTTCGTTTTCTGGCTGAACCTGAGAAAGCTGTTTTGTTTACTGTCGACGAAGAGCTCCTTTGTCCTAATGGTGGATCGTTATCTCCTTGCTCTAAATCGTCAGGTTTGGGAAACAAACTTTCCTTCTCTTTAGCCGGCGCTGAAACCTTTTCAGAATCAGAACCTTCTTTTTTCAAAGCAGTTTTTTCTGTTTGAGACCCTTGTGCCGCTTTTGAACAAAACTTTAACATTCCTGAGTTGGAGATTTTCTCCTTCCAGTTGTAAGCCAACGACGGACCCAGGTCCTTTGTCAGATTCTTGGAATTGATGATGGGCTAGTAAAAAAGGTAAACGATTGAACAAGTTTAGTCTTTCTGTAAACTGATTACTCGCCCCTTACAATAAAGCTTTGGTACAGCAGAATGACCTCTAATGACCAAGATCACGGAAAATTTGGTCTCACTTTTTGCACTCTATGGATCTACCTCGGTGTAAGTGACTTATAGAGGATACGACGGGCTACTTCGTAAAATCAATGTACAATTGGACAACAGTAGTTTCATTTTTTTGTCCAGCAAATCGTCACGTTTGTGATCTCACTGCGGAAATCGTGTTCGTAAGAGGAACTGTTATAGATTCTTCAGGAATGGATACGCGCAATACTTCAATTCGTTTAAGCTTTGAACCGTTACGGTAAAAATGGAAACAGCTGCAAAAGTTTGTTTGCCTAAGAGCTCTGGTCTAAGCTTGTAACCCCCATTTCATCTAGGTACTATTGTTTAATGGTTTACGGCTGAAGTCATTAAAGTTAAAGATCTCACATCTTTTAAGAAACTGTAATCTAAATTGCCCTTTCTGCTCATTGTAGTAATTACTGTTATTATACCATTTATAAATCGCTATTGCTTCACTTATCCTAATCCTATTTTTTATTTCTATTTTTTCATTAACTGTATTTGCGACTTTTTTTATTTCATGAGAGGCCTGGGGTTAAGATGAACTATGATAATGTCCATGCAGCTTGTAATTTTTGAGCTGTAGTGGAGATGTATGTATTTAAGGTACATTTAATAGAAGGTGCCGGGAAAAAAGAATAGAAAATGCAATGAAACACACCTGATCTTCATGGTCTGTACCCCACATGAAATATATCGGTCCTCGTATTTTACCCTGTAATTCGGGCGAACGCAAACGTTCTCCCCAGCTGGTAAAAAGAGACCAAAAAAAATGCATTTGGCTTTTAGCTACGGCAACGAATGTGTTATCATTTTTCGGGTTTAAAATGGTTGTTGTAATTAGCCATTTGAAGTTAGTTAGCGGTAGTCGCGTTATTAACCCGATTGTGAAAACAAGGTGCTTGCACTAACAAGGTTAACACATTTACCGGATTGTCGTATTTAAACCTGAGGTGATGTGGTCGTATTAGAGTTAGTCGCATTTAGCTGAAGGGTTCGGTTATAAGAGGAGAAATTTCTAACTTTGCATTGGATAATTGTAAATATAATCTTTGTAATCGGAAAGAGCTAGAGTATTTTTATTCTTGGTTTGCAACCACGTGACAGGGCGGCGACGTTGTTGGTCAATACAATTCACCACTTCCACATAGACCATAATGCACTTTGTTTACCCCCCCCTGCCAAAAAAAAAAAATTTGCGTAACCTTTGTCTTTGATTTCTCTTGGGACGACTTTAACACCCAGGAGAAATTGGAAACAACTCACGGTTATGCAAAATTTTAGGAGGTAAGCAAGGTGCATTATGGTCTATGTGAAAATGGTGAATAGATTTTCTCGAATAATTTACATGAAAATGGAGTTTAGTTCCCAGAGGAGAGAAAGGCTTTGTTCCTCACCACCAACATGGCCGCCTTGACGTCATGCGTAAACCAGTAAATGTAATACCAGCAAATCATATCGGCTCCTCCAGGCAAGCCGCGGAAATCGAGCCCAAAGTAAGGCATGTTCAAATTTCGCTACTGACAGAAAAATATAGTTGAATTTCAAGCAGCTAGAAAGAACTGGAACAACAATTCAGCCTTCGCTCGCATACCTTTTTATTTCTTCTTCTTCCAGTACGCGATGTTTTCCTGTCCTTCGATGCACGCGAACATAGGCAAAGTCACATGACCCAAGTTCCATGACGATTGGGACCACTCTCGAAACTGAATCCTGAAAGAAAAAAATGCTTTTGTGTAACCCATGATTGGAACGATGCGATCAAAATTCTTAAGGAAATAAATAATAAAACCGAACTCCAACGTGCTTGAAAAAAATAAGCCCTGGAGGGAATGAAACAGAAATTTCTGTTGACAATTTTTCGCATATGCAGGCTGTATACGTATTTCTATATTGTAACTGCGTAGAATACTCCCTTGGAGGTGCGCACATTATAATGGCTGCGGGTTTGGAAATAGCAACCTTACGATCCGACAACGGCGACGTCCATGAAAACCTTGCTGAAAAATAGACTCCACATCCTTTCAAACCATTTCGCGATTATCCCGAGTCGCCCAGTTACTTAAAGAAGCGAATTTATGTTGGAGCTGAAGAGAGGGAGCCGCACCAGAGTTTAGACAGGGATGGTAGAATTTATCGCCTTGCCGTTCCCGTCCTCAAAACAACTTAAAATTTCATCTTTTCACGTCGTAGTCGTGCAGGGACGGCAAAGAAATGTACAAAAAAAGCGTGATGCACGTGCAGAGTTGTTATGTTGCTAACGAAAACCATTGCTTTTTGACGTTGCTGTTGCCGTTGCCGTCGCCGTCGCCGTCGTAACGTTCCTACTACTAAAAACTGGACATTATTCCAGACTCGGAGTCATGTTAGAATTTAATATATCGAACGTGGGCTATTAGATATGACGGACTCAATTGATACTAACGTTGATCTCAGGATTAGGTTCGGTACATGACGAAGTTTGAACAGGGCCTACTTTTGAAAAATAACTTAAGACGTTGAATTAAACGCTCCGCCATACAAAAATCAACCCTACCTTCTTCCCCTGATGATCTCCAACGCTGTTCTTGTCAAAGTACAGCTGTGGATGTGTTATAGACATTACAGACTTGGAATCAGTTTCACGGCAAACTCAGGGCAAATGTGAGATTCAAGTTTAAGATTCCTCAAATTAGGAGAGGATCAGATAAAACCTCCAAAGTAGCCTATCTCATTTTCACATCGACCGGTCTGGTTGGTCAGTCTTTTAAAAGCATCCAAATACGCAGACGCAAAGAAACATCTGGTTATCGAAAATGAATACACAAGATTGGTTTGTTAAAACTGAAATGTCAGCTACCTAACGCCAAGCAGAAAGGATTCCAGTAAAGTAGCATACCTCATTTTGCAGATCGTCAGCGACAACCAAACCTAAATAAAGGTTGGAAACATACAGAGAGTATTGGTATATCTCTTCGATTTAGGAATGTAAAACTGAGTAAAGTTAAAAGTAGTTTTACTCTAAATAGTGTTGTTTTTGTATTCTGATAAGTAACTCTATCAATCACGCTGGTACTGATGAAACGCAAAACAGCTGTAGCTCGGGAAAATATCCCAGCACCAAACGCAGATTGCAGATTATCTCATTACAGTACAGTTAATTCTTGATTTAGTAGTTAAAATATGGGAGACTGGCATCTACTGAACAAGTAAGGCCTCGTCCACACCTATCCGCGGACTTTCTAAAAAACGGAAATTTGTTTCTTCGTTTTCCATAAAATACGCATCCTCACGTAGCGTATTCGAATCGATTTTGCTCGTCCCTTACAGAACATGCGCTGTATGATATAGGTCATCATCGTGTTCAAAAAATTCCCTTTTCGTTCGTCCACACGAAAATGATAAGCACTATAAGCTGGTTTTATCTAAGAAAAAACTCCACTCTCGGAACCGTTTCTGAAAACCTGCGTTTTTGGTGCCCGAAAACTCCGTTTACGTGTGGTGGGAAGGCCACAACGGAGAAAAAATTATCCGTTTCCAAAAATATCCGGATACGAGTGGACGGTGCGCAAGATAACAGAAGAAAAGTCCAGGAGTAAACGCTTCAAATGCGCGGTCGTTGTGATAGTCGGTTGCAAAGTGTTCTTATGAACAAAATGTCCTCACCCTATCCGGACTATTCGCCGAGTCCTAGAAAAAAATGTTACGGACAGATTGTTTGTAATTCTAACTTTCATAACGTCCTTTGGCAGAACTTTTGTCTTGTAATATTAATTTTATTTTATTTTTTTTTTGCTTTGTCACTAATGGGATTGAAAGGGATAAAATACACAGAATACAGAGTATTTCAATAGGGAAAGTGAAAAAAATCAGTTGTTTTCAACTTGTTGCAAAATGAAAGTCAACGAACTTACCCAGGTTATGCTTTGTCAGCCAATCCAAGGTTGAAGATAAGTTTTCTGCTGAAAACCAAACCCTGGATCGAAACTCGACAGCCATGAGGTAACGAACATCAAGATATTTCCTACACTCTTCTATGTGCCTCTTATTATCTTCTGTGGGCTGATAGCCTAAGTGAAACTACAGAGATTTTGTTTTTCAATTTAGTTATCAAATGAAAACGAGAAGTTTTTCTGCTGTGTACATGAATGAAAAAGGTATTTAATTAATGTTTGAAGTGCAGTTGGTGGAGTTCTGTAGATGATAGATGTGGACTTGATAAAATTAATACAAACTGTAAGTTTTTACAGTCATAATAGCCTCATTGTAATTCTTACTGTGAGAACCCTCAACACTTATGAGTGATACAAAACAATTGAAACAAGGAAGTCAATACAATATAGAGCAGCTAAGAAAATAACTAGCTACAAAGCAAAGAAAAACTTGACAGTTATTACACAGAGATAAATAAGCCTCACAACTTTGACAGTGAATCTTTTCATTTTTACACAAAAGCCCGAGGGTGATGTTTTGAACCTTCCCTAAGCAAAATATCTGATGCATCGTCTGATCTCTAATGTTCACTTTGTATGTGTACTATGCTACTCAGAATATATACAAAGAACTTTTAGTAACAACATGAATTTTCAAATAGATATTTTTTTACACATATTGCATGCAATAAATTGCCTCCCAAAATGTCATTGTGTCTGAAGTGGTTTCCCAGTGGTTTGGTCTTCATGAGTGACGAACTCCTGTAAGCTATCATTAAATCTTTGGTGTGTGACAAACGCAGAAGACTGGCAAGTAAACAAGGAAAATATTGTTGTGGAATGCTTTAACAGTTGCCTACCCCTAAAGTTTAAGTCATTTAAAAGTCTAGTTTAGGGATAGGGAATCTGCTAAAGCATTTCACAACAAAGTTTTGCCTCATTTACTTGCCAGTCTGCAGTCTGCATTTGTCGCACTCCACTAAATCTTTGCATTTCGGGTGGCCAATTAAAGGGGTTTTTAACTTTGTTTCCAATTGAAAATGCCAAGCCTTGTCTAGATTTCTCCAAGAGCATGTGCATCTCTTTATACTGACATATAGGAGTATTAGCAGTTGTTGGATTCAGCTTTCATATGTTCTGAAGAATTTTACAAATCGAGGATGGTGTTATCTGCTGCAACCAAAGGGCAAGGCAGATAACTCCCTCCGACATCTGCATAATTCTTCAGATCATAAAAAAGCTGAATCAAATTTATTACTCATTCAAAATAATTCATAAAAACATGCTTACCTCTTAATACCTCAATCTAACAAGTTATTGAGAACAATTAGCACGTTGGATTTGAACCAATTAGAAATGAAAAAATAATTTGAATGAATAACAATAGTTGCTTTGGGTAAATGTCATTACCTGAAAGACCACTACTCCCAGTTTATTTCTCTGATGAGCAGGGAGGAGTGCAGAGTTAAATCTGTCCCATAGTTTCTGCTTTTGTGTCTGTGTCAATTCTTCCCATAAAATTGAGCACTGTTGCCTTGTGATGCTCTCTGGAAGCTCATCTCTGACCACATGTGGAAGGGCTGAAGGAGATATTGACTGAAAATCAATGATAAAAAATCAAATTATTTTTGCTTCTTGACATTAAAGGGATCAAAAAGAGTTCAGCCTGGTCATCAAGAATATGTAGATTTTTTCACTAGGCGAGTAACTTTTAAAGCTCCAGTCATATTGTGCAATATTAAAGTGAGGGTCCAGGCAAGTCAACCAGTTTGTTATTAAATCATTGTCTGAGACAAGCAAGCAATGGCCCAGGGCAAGCAAATGACAGAGCTATCCTCAACTTGAACAAAACTGAAATTCAATTTCTTTCTCCAGCCCCCACTGTCTTCCTTATTAGGATGTCTGCAAAAATCTCTGGATTCAAGGATTTCTCTAAAATCAGCTAAAAACAGTGGATTACAAAGCCTAATTCTTTCATTCAGAAACAGATTAAGTGAAAAAAATGTATTCAATAAATTAAGAAACATTAACACATGTCCTAGGGCATTTAGATTTGATCATTTGCCCCAGGGGAAGGCAAATTTAACAACAGTGGGTGGTTGAACAGGAGACAGTGTAATCCAATGGTCCCAGGTGGATGGTCCTGCTCCAAGCACTAGATGGATTAGTTTCTTGGTAGTCCTGAGTGCAACTCCTTGCCAAGCTTGTAAGCAGCCAACTCAATGGCTGCCTCCTGCCAGATGGGATTTTTAATCCTGTTATCCTATTTGGATTACTTGTTTCTAAAAGCAAGGAATTTTACCAGAGTATCTGTAAACTAGTTGGAAAGCTAAGTGAACTTCCACTATAAACAAACCTTTACTTTTTCATATTGGGATAGGGAATTTGATACCATGTAAATGCATAAGAAATGTGGGTCAATTGCCAAATTAATTCAATGCACCTTGATTTAAATCATGGTAGAGTTGAAGGTGTTCGAGGAATTTAAGTTTAAACCCTGTTATCATCATGGATAGAGAAAAAGGACCTATGAAAAGCTGCCTTTGAAGATAGCTGTATACTGTTGTTCTTTTGAATATTAATTATTTTAGTTAATTTTGCAAATTATGGGGATGGGTGATGGTTGACTTCCACTTAGGTTATGTTCAGCATGTCACACCTGCTGTGTTCCAGCAAACAATGGATGTTGAGGGATGAAAATCATTCTATCCATTTAATGGCTGGTTTGAAATTTCCCCCAAAAAAAGCAAATTAGGAAGGGTCACTCCAACATTAATATCCATCCCCACACCCCTCCCGTCTAAAACACCCTTATCACTGTTGGTGAGTTTTCTGAAGTGATAGATCAATGAAAAAAAAATAGAATTTCTCAAAGACAAGATTTTTTTAAGGGATAGAGCAGAAAAAGAAAATTTTCTGGGCACATTTTCTCAGGAAATCTAGAGTGTACCACTGGATGCTTCAGACAGCAGTTTAAAGGAAAAGTTTACATTTTTCAAAGGGTTAAGGGTTTCGCAAAAGGTTACGGTATGATAAGAATATTGCAAAAAAAATTTTTTTAGGTCTCCACAGGGGTACTCTTTAAGTCTGGCAAACCCAGTCTAGGTATACTAAATATCTTGTTGGGGGGTGTCAATATTGCAGATTTTGATATCAATTACAGTGTTCTCTGGGCTGTGCTTTAACAGGGATAAGGAAGCAGAAGAGTTAAATGAAAGAAAGACAGGGATAGGGAATGTGGTCGCCGGTTTCGTATTCAGACATTTCACAAGATGTAAGGTTAAGAGCTTTATTTCACCGTAGGATGCCAACGTCGAGATTACACTTTCTCATTCAGTTCCAGAGTGGTTAATTCTCATCTGTATTCATTCAGCTTCATTTAGTGCAATTCGCTGCAAAATGCAATGTTCCGACTAAGAAAAACGGCCTACATAAAGCCAAAGCGAATAACTGAAAGGTACAAAACAATAAACTCACACAAGTGTGGATCCTCGTAGTTCAATCCGGCGTAAAAAAGGAAAACATCTATGAGCAAATAAATCTGGCTCTTTCAACAAAACAACATGGCCGACCCGCCGAGCACATGGTTGCGGCACTCGAAAAGGCCTATGGGAAGTCCGGGCACAGGACACCCAAAAAAGTAATAACATCCCGCCCCCCATGAACTCCTAGCCTAGGGGGGTTCATAACTAACATTGTCTCAACAGTTTCTACTTTTAACAAGTCATTGTCTCTTCATTTTCTTCAGTCTGCATGTCCTTCACTCATCGTTTACTCCCTCAAGCAGGCACAGCTTAGTCACCGGTCGCTTCAGCGTACCTCCCTCTGTTCGTACTTCCACACTCCTCACCAATCCGTCCGATCCGGGAAAGGAGTTTATCACTCGACCGAGTCTCCATTGGTTCCTCTTCACATTGTCGTCTGCGATCAGCACAATGTCTCCTACTCGAACATTTCTTTGTTCTTGCTGCCACTTGTGCCTTTGCTGCAATGACGGTATGTACTCCTTTATCCATCGGTTCCAGAAGTGGTTGGCAAGCAGCTGGGCCTGTCGCCACCGTCTTCGGCTGAACTTGTCTTTCTCATCTACCACATCAGGGGGAATGTTCATTGAGCCCCGCACATTCAGGAAATGGTTCGGAGTCAACGGTTCAGCATCATCTGGACTCGAGGAGTTGGGTGTCAGTGGCCTTGAATTTGCAACGCTTTCAGCTTCGGTGAGCACTGTGGTCAGAACCTCCTCGTTCATCGGGCTGTTGCCGAGGATGGCCTTCAAGCTTCTCTTGACAGTCCTCACCAACCTCTCCCAAACTCCTGACATATGAGATGCTCCAGGGGGGTGGAAAACCCAATTACACCCTCTCTTCATGAGGTCTCGTTGGACTTTACTATTCTCCATGCTCTTCAAGGCCTCTTTGATTTCTTTATCGGCACCAACGAAGTTAGTTCCGTTGTCGGAGCGGATCTCTTTTACATGTCCTCTTCGGTTCAAGAATCTCATAAGCACCAGCATGAAGTCGTCAGTTTCCAGAGACTTGGCCAATTCCAAGTGCACTGCTCGGGAATTCATACAGACGAAAATAACTCCCCAACGCTTTTCCATCACTCTTCCTCGTCCACGCTTCACATAGAATGGTCCAAAATAGTCGACCCCGGAATAACTGAACGGAGGCTCGTATGGGGTTAGTCGTACCTTCGGCAAGTCTCCCATCTGCTGGTTCACCTTTGGTCCCATTTGCTTCCTGCAATGGACGCATGTTCTCAGGATTTTCTTGATTGCACTTCTGGCTTTCACTATCCAGAACTGTTCCCTTAGAAGTGACAGAACTTGTTCTACACCGCAGTGTCCATTTGTTTCATGGAGGTTTCGGATCAAGATAGTGCTGATATGGTGGTTCTTTGGCAATATCATTGGATTAATAGCATCAGCGGATATCGGGGCCTTGGATATCCTTCCACCTACGCGTATGATTCCATCTCCCTTCAAGATTGGCTTGAGTTTGATTATTCTACTAGAAGCTTTCACTTGCTTTCCTTTATTCAGGCTTGTCACCTCATCGGGAAAACTAATCTTCTGTATAACTGCCACGATCCTTCTCTTTGCTCTTTCTAGATCTTCACAGTTGATATCTCCATTCACATTGATAACCTCCGGATCTCGTTTTTGTGCGACACGCCACTTTATCCAATCCAGAAACTTGAGTATCCAGGCCACCTTTCGCAAGGTATGCACCCAGTTGGAGGACTCAGTGATTAAGTCTTCAACTGTCGTAGTGGGCTCCAGACTGGTAGCGAATATCTCCTTCTTCACCTCAAGACTTTCAGGGGGAAGGACGTCATAGTTGTTCTCTGGCCATTTTTCTTCAGGTTCTCTTAAGAAGGATGGTCCCTTCAGCCAGCGGTCGTTCTTCAGAAAGTCATCCATCTCTAAGCCACGGCTAACGTCATCTGCAGGATTAATCTTTCCCGGACAGTGTTTCCATTGGTCAGGGTGGGTCAGTTCCCTGATTTCACTCACTCTGTTTGCTACAAAGGTTTGGAACCGCCGGTTCTCGTTCTTGATGTAATTCAGCGTAATCATCGAATCCGACCAGAACACGACTTTGTCAAACTGGAAGTCAAGTTCACTTCTGACTGCCGAGTCAATCCGTGCGGCGAGAAGTGCCCCTTGCAGCTCAAGTCGTGGCAGACTGACACTCTTTATAGGTGCGTTCCTTGACTTCCCAATGAGGAAGGGACATTCGGTTTCACCATCTGAATACTCGATGCGCAGGTAGCTTGCGGTTCCATAGCCAACCTCTGAAGCGTCGCAGAAATGATGTAGTTGCAGTTTGACTCCTTCATGCTCAAGACGACTGAAATAACATCGCGGGATACTTAGGTTCTCCAGGAGAGGCAGACAGCTCTTCCACATCTTCCATTTCTCAAGAATTTCTCCACTGATTGGGTGATCCCACGGCATTTTCCGTCTCCATAGAGTTTGCATAATCTGTTTTGCGGGTAACATCACAGGGGCCGCAAAATTCAAGGGGTCGAAAACTGAGGCAATTGTTGACAGCACACCCCTCATTGTATCCGGCTTTTGTAAATCTGCTGTTTTGAATCCGAGTGTATCGGATTCAATGTTCCATCGGACTCCAAGGGCTCGATTAATTGGTAGCTGGTCCAGGTCAAGGTCAAGGGAAGGTGTAGCTCTCTTCTTCACAGGTATCTCAGCTAGGACTTGGCGATCATTACTTTCGAATTTAGTCAAGTTGAATCCTCCTTTGGCGCACAGTTTCACCAGTTGGTCAGCCAGTGGTATTGCTGCGCTTGGTGTGTGCACCGACTTCAACAGATCATCCACGTAAAAATTTCGCTTCACAGTCTCTATGGTGACAGGGTCAAAATCCTTTGCATTATCATCTGCGGTTCTCTTCAGCGTGGCATTTGCTGCACATGGTGAGTCGGTTGCACCAAAGATATGCACAGTCATCACATACTCCTCTGGAGAATCAGTTGTACTCTCAGTCCACCACAGGAATCTTAATGAGTCTTGGTCCTCCTCGCGAACTTTAACTTGGTGGAACATGCTTTCGATATCGGCTACGAGAGCAGTGTTGTCTTCTCGGAATCTCAGGAGCACCCCAACAAGACTGTTGGTGTAATCAGGACCATGCAGAAGGTTCTTGTTGAGGGAGGTTCCCTCACACTCTGCGGCTGCGTCAAATACAATGCGTACCTTGCCAGGCTTATTAGGATTCACGACAGCAAAGTGCGGTAAGTACCAAGTTCTAGGACCTCTGTTCGCGGCCTCTTCCGGCGACAATTTGCGAGCATGTCCCTTGGCAATGTAATCTTCCATAACTGCTCGATACCTCTCTTCAAGGTCTGGTTGAGAGGAGAACTTCCTCTTTAGGCTCTGCATCCTCCTTTCAGCTTCGGAGCGATTGTTAGGCAACTGAACCTCCTCATTGCGCCACAGTAGACCAGTCTCATAATGTCCACTACGCATCTTAGTTGTTCTTTGTAATATGTCAACCGCATGCATATCTTCTCTGGACAAATTATGGGATGCCAGAGTCGAATGCTCTTTGGCATCAGTCCCGTTTCTCGAAACATAGTCATTCCGTGTCCCAAAGGCATCCAAGTTCCAGAAATTCTCGATCTGATCATGCAGTTTCTTATCACAGCTTGTAAAATTGATGTTGAGCTCCTTGGGAGCGGGAACTCCCTGGAGAGTCCCGGTAATGACCCAGCCTAGTGGGCCTCTCAGCGCTTTCAGCTGACTGTGCGGTGTGCCAGGTTTTCGTACTTCGAATACTTCGTGGGCATGATCAACGTCCTTTCCTATCAGGATTGAAACCTTTTTAATTTCTACATCAGGAATTCTAATGCCCTTCAGATGAGGGTAGAGGGATGTATCAATGTCCCTGGGAAGCCACCTTTCTGATATGTTAAACTTCTCTGAGACAAGACCTTCATGAACAGTAATAATCTCTCCAACACTGCTAGCCGACTGTAACTGAAAATTCACCTCTTGAAATTCTTCATTTGTTTTGTCCATTAGAGTGTTCACAGAAACTAGCTTTCTTCGTCCCTTTAATCCAAGAGTGTTTGCAACATCACTACTAATTATAGTTCCTCGTGAAGCGTTATCAAGCAGGCCATAGGTGGTTAAGACACACCCGTTTGGAGCTATCACCTTGACAGGTAGGACATGCAGTAGCACTGTTTTTGAGAGGTTTTCGGTGGCAGTGGCATACTGTTCCACAGTCCTGAGGCTATCTCCTTGTTGTACTTCTCTTCCTTCTGCTTGTGGCTGTCTTTGCGGCTGTTTCTCTGGTTGGGGACCTTGTTCAACGTCACTTCTGTTCTTCTTATAGGGATGATGTAACAGCCTATGGTGTCGTCTGTCACTTCCGCACTTACAAAAACCTTTGAACTTGCACCGAGCACGCATATGGCCAGACTTTAGGCAGGCATGACACAATTTGTGTTGCTTAACTATCTCCCAGCGGGCTTGAATATCATCAGCTTTGAATTTTTCGCATTCAGTGAGCTCATGGTTACCCGAGCAGCAAGGGCAATGGTTAGAACTCCGTTTTTCAGTGTTTCTTTCAGTGTTCAGGGGGTTGTCATTTTCACGAAGAGTCTTTACATCAGTGGAGAATGCAGATGTTTGCTTGTTTGGCCTAATGTTCGATTCAGTCTGTCTTTCAGGCCTCTTGTCATTTACAAATCCTGGATCATTCTTGATGGCAGCCTGGCGCTTTACGAATTTGGCTAGATCAGACAGTCGTGGGGTTGAACCGCTCTCCCGGATTTTGAATGAAGCATCTCCCCATTTGTTCACAAGGTAATTCGGTAGCCGCTTGACAATTTGCTTTAGGTTTGTCATTGTACTAGCTTCAAGTTCATATTCCCCAGAGAGCTTCTTTGAGGCTGACTCAAGTTGTTCCGCAAAATTCTGGAGTCCAATATAGTCATTGTTAGACAACTTTTGTCCCTTCGTTAAGTTCTCTATGCAGCCAGCAGCGACAGTAGCAGGCTGTCCGTACCGGGCATGTAGAATGTCTAGCACTGCCTCATAGGAGCACCCAGAGACCCTCTCAACGACTTCATAGGCCTCGCCAGCCAAATACTTGGGCAAGAATTCTAGTTTTTGGCTGTCAGTAAGGATGCCATCCTCTAAGTTATCTCGCAGTCTGTCTCTGAAAATGGGGTAGTCACTGGGGCTCCCTGAGAATTTTATTGGCTGCATGGCTTGGAGCATTGTCAACTTAAGCAAAACTGCAGTAGTATCATTGCTTGTAATGGGATTAACAGACTGAGGCTTAGGGCTAAGTACCTCACATTCTCTTTCACAGGTACTTTCCTTCTTTGTTGGTTGATTTGTTTTCATGACATTCTGACTACTGTCCTTAAGGGGCCCTTTGGATGGCACAAAGTTGGGAACTTCAGGATTCAAGGGTTTCTCATCACAACCTGCCGACCATCTAACAATTTTCTCCTGTTGGGTCATTGGTGGCATAAGGGAAAATTCTCCTTTGTCCTCTAGGGAATATTTGGAAACGGTATCACTGCCATCTTCCAAAAGTTCTGCTTCCTTTTCTGCCATTTGAATCTGAAACTTCATTTCACAAGCCCTCCGTTTTCTCTCAAATTCCAGCTCGACCTTTTTGTTTTCCATTTCTAATTTATACTGAGCCAGTTCCTGTTCCTGTTGCAGCATTAATTTCTTCATTTCAATACTCTTTCTAATCTCTGTGAGTTTCGACTGCTTTGAAGAAGGGTATGACTTGTTAGACTTTCCTTTAGGTTTCTCTTGGCTCTTCAATCGTTTAAGACATTCATAAATTGCATTTGTGCATGCATGGTATTCAGTTTGAGTTTCATCATGTTTGTTTTTAACCCGATTGAATTCTTGTTCAGGTATCTCTTTCATCACATAAAAGCTATAAGAGTTATCGTATTTCTTCCAGGCCGAATTCAAACTCTTCAAGGCAGTCTCAAGTTCACTGTGTTTCATATCAACAAGGCAGGTCTTTGCACCTTTTAACATTGTACTCACGCGACCTAAGAGCCCAGCGAGTGAATTCTTGTGCTGCTCCAGTCCATCCGATTTCTCCGAGTTTTCACCACGGGCTGGGCCTTCGCTTCTTCCAGACTCTTCAAGATTTTCTGCTGTCGGGTTATCTTGACCCACTTGTCGAATGATGTGGTCGCCGGTTTCGTATTCAGACATTTCACAAGATGTAAGGTTAAGAGCTTTATTTCACCGTAGGATGCCAACGTCGAGATTACACTTTCTCATTCAGTTCCAGAGTGGTTAATTCTCATCTGTATTCATTCAGCTTCATTTAGTGCAATTCGCTGCAAAATGCAATGTTCCGACTAAGAAAAACGGCCTACATAAAGCCAAAGCGAATAACTGAAAGGTACAAAACAATAAACTCACACAAGTGTGGATCCTCGTAGTTCAATCCGGCGTAAAAAAGGAAAACATCTATGAGCAAATAAATCTGGCTCTTTCAACAAAACAACATGGCCGACCCGCCGAGCACATGGTTGCGGCACTCGAAAAGGCCTATGGGAAGTCCGGGCACAGGACACCCAAAAAAGTAATAACAGGGAAGCAGAATAGTTAAATGAAAGAAAGACAAGAAACAGTGAATAAAGAAACATTCAATGGTAATTTTATCGGAATTAAATTACTGTAGCTGTTATTAGGCTGTCTGCCTAACACCACCCCTGAGGTAACACTAAGGGCCCATTCGGATACCCTAAACAAAAGGCCTAGACTGCTAGCTCCCAATATGCCGGCCCTAGACAAAGATGTAGGAAGGATCTTGCCCACAAACAAACTCTTACTTTTCTTGTAAAAAAGCCAAATGCCTTGAAATGAAACTTGAAGCCTGCAGGAACACACTTTACCCACTTTTCAACTGCGGCTGGACTAGGAATTGCATAGTTACTTGAGTCGCACTCGACACAGGGAAAGAACCGAGAGTAATGCAACAAGCGATCCTCTGAGGTTTTCACAGAAGCCGGGTAGAACCTTCCACACTTAACTATGGAAGAATCAGACCATCCACACGTTCCCTGGAGCACTTTTCCTTTGCGATCGTCTTCAAGGACATTTTTCCCCGCCATTTTACTGCTTCCAATTCCACTGCGTGACCTGGCCTGCAGCTCAGACCAGCCAACAACAAGGCACATTTGTTTTTAAAATGGCAGTCAGATTACTGGAAGCCGGGTTCGACGAAAACATAAGTCCAGTAATTGATCCCTGCCTTAAGCTCAAGGCATAAACCTTTGTTAAACGTTCTGATATCTTATATTTTACTTGATGTCTTCTTGGGCTGGATTTACGGACGAGGAGCTCTCCCGCTTAAGGCAGCAGAATGTACCAGAAGGGGATACCTCATTCGGAGGGCGAAAGAAAGCGACGATAAACTCTGCAAAAAGACAGCGACCTCGCGAGAAAATACGGTCAAGAACGCCTTCATCAGAAGTGAAACCACCACTTGATGGAAGGAAAGAAAATGCAGAGGAAAAAAGCTCCACATTAGGACGAAATAGAACTGCTTCTGATAGTAATGAAAAGGCAGCGAGGCAAATTGAAACAAGAGATGAAGAGAGAGAAAATTCCTCGCCAGAATGCGAACGACGTGTTTATAAGAACAAGGAAATACCTGAAGAAGCTCCCCCACAAAGAAAGGACGTGCAGAAAACAGATAACCTTCAGGAAAGTAAAGGGACAGAGGTTGATTACGTGGCCGAGAAAGATGCGATCAATGATCTCCCAGAAATAATCGACGAGAGTGACAGGTAGGTCTTAAATTAAATCAGGTTTAAAGGGAATGCTAATATAGGCTTAGATTATACTAAAAAAGTTCATCGAATGGTGTTTTGTTTTATTTTATCAGGCTCTATTTTATACTCTTTCCTTTTCCTGCGCTTAATGTGATTTAAACATTAAGCTTAAATTAAATTTGCATGAATTCCACGATGACTCTATCCGGTATCCTAGAAACGTCAGTGTCAATTTTATTTTGACTTGTCTAGTTTTCGATAATTTCTTTTTCTTGTGCATGAAATAATATATGTGTTATGGCAGTGATGGATAACCTGTACATGTCCTGAATAATCAGTCACACTACGTGCATAAAAAAACGTTTTTGTTCATCCAAAATATTTTGAGGATGTTATCTGCAAAAAAAGACCAAAGGCACCCTCCAAGATCTTTCTTCAAGAGCTTTGCATATTCTTCTTTTTTTGGTATGTTCCTTATTATGGTTGTTTCACTTATATTGCTAGCCAATGTACAGACATCCCCCCTCCCTTAGGAAAAATCGGGAGAGGAGGTCTCTTCTCCCAATTTTTCCTGAGGGAGAGGGGACGTCTGTACACAGGCTATTATATTGCTTAACTCAGAATTTGAAATCTCCAGCCTGCTGTAAGTTTAGTGCTTTCTGGCATAATTGTATTGCCAAAGCTGTTGCTTTCTGTTGAGCAGAAAGAATGGGTGGGGGTTTTCCCTTGTATAAGCTGTAATGTTTATGTATACTGAAAGGTATAGTTTTTGAACCATTTTTCTCGGAAGTTGGATACAGATTAAATCTTTTTGGGGATTCACATAGGGCAAGGTTTTGTTCTCTCTGCTTGGAACAGGGTCTGGAATTGGGTATTTTTTTATCATTTATCTCTCAGGAAGAGTGATTCAGCTCGGCAGTGAGGTAGCGAACTTCCCACATTTCCCCTGAAATAGGCTAACGGTCTCAGGGCATATACTGCACACCCTTACCCAAATTTTCCAGGAGTTATCCACCAACCCTTTTGGATTCTTGTATTGTGTGATTAGCTTAAGCAGTGATGATAACAACAGTCCGTCGGTGGTGAAAATGTTTCTTAAAAAGTGAATTCACACTGTTTCATAATTCATTGCTGATATTCCGCGTTGTTTAATTTTTAAGTGTTGTTAAACTCCTCCAAAGTTGAATTTTAAAGAAATGTATCTAAGTTTTAAAAAAAGAATTAGAGAACCATTGTCTTCTGTTCATGTGCTCAACAAAACATGAAATTAGGTAGTTTCATGTCGTGGTTGTGCAACGATGGCAAAGAAATGTACAAGAAAGCATGATGCACCTATAGCTTTTTTGCCGTTCTCATTGCTGTTGTCGTGTTTTCTGAAGTTCCCTATTAAGTCTAATAAAATCCGTTCCATTATTGCACAATAAACTGATCTGTTTGGTTCAACAAAATGTCATTGGATGAATGATGTGAATCTTCCACCCCAAGCAAGAACAAGGCAGTTTCAGCATTAGCTCTTAGGCAAATACAAAATAAGATCTACCTAAAGGAGGTTTTTGTGAGCCCGCCAGACTGAGCAGCCCCCACAAAACCTTGTTTTCACTAAAACCGCTGTCCACAAAACCTCCCTTAAGTCGATATTACATTGTCACAACCTGGAACTGTAGCTCTTGTGGCCAACAAAAGTGTCCATTTCTTTCTCAGCCCTGTCTAATATTTTTTCATTGTTTAGAGCTTTAATGTTTGTTGTGGTTTTTAGAATACAGGCCATTGAACTGTCTGCTTTGGAGAAGATGCAAGAGAAACAAAAGCAAATAGAACAAGAGAACAAAAGAAAGAAGGCAGCTTTACAGGAAACAATAAAGAAAAGGTGAATTCACAAAAATGAAAACATGGATTTTGGAGACTTTGTTGAAGATATTTATTAAAATGGAGGATGATGCTTCGAATGGTAGTTGTGCTAATTGTTTGAGTACCTCCGCTTACTTCACACATAACTGATATCACAAGGTCGTGCTAGGTCAAGAAAAGAAAATGTATAAAGGGCCCATTAAGTAGCTGTTGCATCCCCTTGTCTCCAGATTACTTAATTCCCAGTAATAATCAATGATGAAGTCTTGCAAGGTGATCTTAACTTTTGAGTTTGTGGAGGAAATCTACAGTGTGACCATTCAAACAAAATCTCTTTAGCATATTTTCACATGGTAATATTAATGCTTTTCAGCATTTGACAAGAGTGAAATGTGAAATGCTGCTGTATTTTAAATTTCAGCCCTTTTGCATGTAAAAGGGTTAAATAGAACTTTTACACACTGATAATGTATTTAGTTGCATGTTACAGTCAAAACGACAAAACAATGAACACTTGAAATATTTCAAGAATGTTTATAACTGGTTTGACCAACCACAGCAAAGATCAGGACTTGCAAGCAAGCCACAAAACCGCCGGTTATTGTCACAGTAATCTTTGCCGTAGTGCTTTATCCCCTTTGACTCCTCATTTATTACTTTTTGCTTCAGATATCAGAAAACCCAGGCTGAAGCACAAACTCTTTCACTGGTTCAGAAAGAACTGAGTCATCTTGACAGCCTTCTGTCTGCTGATGTAGCAATTCTTAGGGATAAAATAGAGGAAAGTAGTAGAGAATATCTTCAAGCACAGTAAGTAACTGCAACATATTTAGGGGGCAAAGTACTTATCATGAAATGTTACATTACCTTTCCTGTAGTGTAAATGATTGATGATTAGTTTTCTTGTACAAACGTAACACAAAAATATTAGCAGTGTGTGTGCATGATGTAATATAGGCAAAATGCCTTTTAAAACACTGTGGAAAAAGTTTGCATTTTGGTTCAGTGGGTAGTGTACATGTATGAACATTGTGCTCCTATTCTCCTTTTAATTGCTTTTGGTTAAGTTGGCTTAAAGAAAAAAGTTTGAAACAAAGTAAAAATTAAAGTTTGAGCTATGGGTAAAATTGAATGGCAATGTATATACTTCAAGACTTCAATTTGATATTATTATTATGTTTTTTATTAAATCTGTTCTCAGGTTAAACCAGAATATTTTCTTTCTGTTATGAAGAAAAACTATACCCCGGGTGCTAGGGTTTTTTTCTTTCTTTCCTAATTCCTGATAGTCTGCAGCAAAGCCGCAACAGCAAGGCGCCAAGCGCAGAGAGAGAAAAAAAGTGTCTCAAGAAGAAAAAGTTCAGTCATTCTATTGACAAAGAAACATTGATTTAAAAACAAACTGTACATTTTAAGTATCTCATTTAAAAAATGGTCGACCATTACCATACGAGAAATAAGTTCAGTCCTTGTGCGTAGTAAGATCAGATATCTGCATGCTACAAAGACTAATATTACACCTGCATGTTTTTTAGTCTAAACATATTTGTGGCGTTGAATCAAAGTTGACTTGAGTGATCCCTAATTAAGATATTATTTCTATTTGCAGAAAAAGATATGAAAAGGCTGAGCATGAATTTGTTGAGGCAAAGATGGATTTACATAGAAAAACGGAGCGTAAGGACTTGCTAACGGAACACCTTTACACCATCATTAGAGAAAACGAACTAAGAAAGGCCAGGAAACTAGAAGAACTCATGGCAAAGCTCAATGTGTCCCCTGACCATATACCTCTTGTGCAACAAACAGATTTTCTTGAGGTTGGGAATGATGAGTCAAGGACCAAACAGGACAGTGCGGAAATTTCTGTGTTACAAGAAGAAAAAGCGAGTGTTCCAAAGCAAGGGATGGATTCTGAATCAAAGGACTCTTGTCAGGTTACTAGTGGGGAAGGGACAACTACCAGTAAGGAAAACACGGAGGGTAATACTCCAGGGGACTCGGGGAATGATGGCCTTGAAGAGAGCGATGATACCGTCACAAGCTAGCTGATTTTATCGTCTTGTCCCGACTGTAATTTTACTGTTTGCAAATGAGGGAGGACCCTGATAAAATGCTTTGCAGTTTACCCCACAGATGAAAGGAGCAGGGGTTTTAACATGAAAAACTTGAAGGGAATCTCCTTTGTTATGACAAATTGACCTTAAGGTTGCAATTGGTAAAACGGTGGAGAGACCTAAAGGACTCTGAACTTGATAAATCTAACAAATCTTCATGCTTTCCATATTTATACTCCTAAATATTTTATAGTATTCATAATGTGATCCAGAATGTTCTTAGAGTTGGTGTATTATTCATAGTTTGGGTTTTTATAGGTGTATTTTCTTATGAAAATTCATAAAGTACAGCTTTGGGCAACTGAATAAAACAATAAAAACTGTTTATTCACTAAGTTAGTTCAGTACTAGCCTGAGATCATACCCTCTACCTATGTCTCTCCCTCTGTGTCTCTCGACCGCTCTTTTAAAAAATAACGCCTGATATTTTTTATTCTATTTTATTAGCTTCGCCTGTTACTGATCAATTAATAATAAATAAATGCTTAGTAGGCACGGGTGCCCCAACAGCGGTGAGCCAATTACAGTGGTCCCGGAGCTTACAAGATATGTAAGAAACAGTAAAACTTCATTTGACAATTAAAAACAACAACGGAGACGGACAGACACGTTACGTGAAACGTTACATGACGGACAGATTGTTTTCCAGGATCGTGGGTTCTCTGGGCCGTCGTTACGTTGTAAGGCACGCATCCATGTATTACTTGTACATGATGGATTTGAATCGGCTGATCTGAAGGTTGCATGAAAGTTGAAGATCATTTGCTAATGTGCTCCAGATTCTGGTGGTTCTATTAAAAAAGGATCTCTGAAAAGTGACAGTATTACATTTCCTTCAAATAAATGGGCCTTTCATATGCTGTTGCAGCATAAACGGTTGCATTATAAACTGGGTAAGAGATAACACTTCGCGAGCTCTATTGTAAACGTTTTAGTGCTAGCCAATTGAGTTGAGAGCAAAAAAGGACTGAACTCTCGCTTTGCTGGCTATAAAGTAGGAGCCCTTGTTTTCTCTTAAAGAAGTTTGGAAGAAGTAGGACAGCGCACCAAGGCATTACATTTGAGAATTGTAATGGCAAAAATGATTTGATTGTAAGGATCTTTTGAGTAAGAATCAGAAAAGAATCCCCGACATGGCGAGCAGTTCATCTACCTATTTGACCTGGTCGTGCAGGCCCGCCTCTTTATCTGGTCAACTGAAACAGGCTATGCGTCCTGAGAAGACGGCAACCAACGATCAGGCGTTCTTTTTTCGTTTTTTCCCTCGCCTCCCAAACAAATATGGAACAAGGACCACCTAATCGCAGGTTTACTGAATACTTAATGGTGTTTTAACCGATTTTTAACCTAGTAAAGTTTTTTCTGACCCAGTTGTTGATATACCGTACATATTTTTTTAGGGGGGACAGCCTTACTCAGCGGTAAAAGTTAGTCAAAAGTGATTTTAAGAGAATATATTTATTATTTCTCCTCTACTTTTATTGTTTTATAACATTTAAAATTCTTTTTTACATTTCACGCACATGATTAATATTTGCTGATGTTGGGTTTCGAAGAAAATCAATCCGTTTTGCATGTTATGTTGAGGAACTATCAATTCATGTACATGGCACGTGACTTGCTGAAAACATAAATAAATGGGTGAGGGGATGGCTGTAAGGGAAGGGTTGAGTCCATTCTCAGGACTAAAATTTGTGAAATTGTTAATTCAGTTGGTCAGGGAAATTTTACATTTGTCAGGAAAATGTCAGGGAAAGGTCATGGAAATGTCAGAAATCTCTGGCTGTGGCAACCATATACCTTTCTAGTCCTGGTATTTCACTTTGAAGTTGTCACCATCACTTTTTTTCTAATAGTGATTGTTTTATTTTGTTTGGCTTTTTTGTTTTTTGTTATTGTTCTTTTCGCTTTTCTTGTTGAGCAGTGCAGAAGTGTTTCACAAGGGGATGATGTGGCCGCAACTTTAAACTGGTCAAGTGACCTTTTATATTCACGATGAGTTTTTCCTCCAGTAACCAATCACATAACCATTCATACTTCAACTTTCGGTTTTTTTCTTGAGGGCTTCAGCACATAAGGAAAAAGGCCTTTACTGGAACTAAGTTTTGGATTGTTTCAAGTAAATGTAACTGGAATTGAAGTCAGTCTAGTTGTTCAGTATTGCGTTGTTGTAAAAACTGACATTTCATTTTCTATCACCAAATCTGCATGGACACGCATTTCAAAGATTGTTTTCAACTTGATTCGTCGTGTCAAGTGTTAAGCCCTTGGCAACGTTTTATGTAATAATCTTAAAAGAATGCATATGAATAAACCGTCCCCCTTTGCTTTGAAATGTGCCCAAAGTGACCCACGCAATTAAACATGTGAGTTACTGAAAGTTGAATAAGTATGTAGTATTGCTGACAAATAACTATGTATGTTTGAAGTGAACCCAGGTTTATCTTTAAATTAAAATATTTTCGCATAGACATAAACCCCACAAAACACTTTTGTATCAGGAAAAAGAGAGGGCACCTTCCCACCTCTGCCACTAGAGAATCCAAGACCGTTGGTCAAGTCAAAGGGGCAGAAAAAAGGTGAAGGTCCCTAGGAACAATTCTAAGGCACCGTCCCTTTCTGCAAGACATATGGAAGTAATTTCCTTTTTTGGCGAGAAATAAAGTGTGTAAACTCTCGGGGTGACCAGTCTTGTGAGCGAAAAGCCTGCGGCGAGCGAAGCAATATCCTTAAATGGAGAGCTTGCGGTATTGCGGTTTCGCAAAACCAAGCGGCTTGGGGTATTTAGAAATTTTGGGGTAATTTCAATGCGGTTTGCAGTTTTATTATGTTATTCTGTTCGGTGTTTATACGTATTTCTGTGCGGTTTTGCAGTGTTCGTCCTCCCTTACGCCCCCTCTGTGTAACTAACGTATATAATTAAAGTATTTCTTCAAACAAAGACCCTCTTTACACTGTTCCGGGCAAATTTATGAACCGACAAAAAATTGCACGGATCCGCCTTTCGTTAACATGAGCCCGCTTTTTTGAACGGCAAACAATACAGCAATCTGTAACAGAATGTACACTGTTCTGTGTAAACGGACTGCACGGGTAAAAAAAGTTTTTGTTCGCAGCAGTGTAAACAGGGTCAAAGGCACCGCCAAAGATGCAGATCGGACCAAATCCCTAATTAGCCGTAAATAGCACAATTGTTCCATTAATTGCCTATTTAGTTTCAGCCTAATATTATTGGATGACGACGATTGTAAGCTTTCTTTTATGGTATTGTGGCTGATAATAACGTTGTGATCATTTCCTGTTTGTGGCACAGGCCGCGACCGGCACTTGTGTAAGTTAAGGTGCAGAAGACCCATGACGCAATTAGTGGAAATACCCTTAATTATTGTTGGAATAACAATGAAAGCAGTTAACTCATTTCACCCAATGGTGCCCTCCTCAATATTCCAGTACATTTTGTTTATCACAAATAACAGAAACTCGGTATATAGTATCAATTTCAAAACAAAACTGAATGCTAGGCTGACTTGCAATACGGCAAAGGGGTGATTTGATCGATTTTTAACTTAAATAAAATTGCGCAATTTCACAGTTAATTGCCATTAATTGTTAGTAATTGTTAATAGGTTTCTGTCTGATTGCTGATAATACTATTCATAAATAGAGCTAATTACATTAAATCCATTGTTATTCCCATAAGGGTATTTCCGCTAATCACAACATTGGTCATTTCTTCTTTTGGCGGTACCCGCATGAATGACCTTAGTTAAGGTACAGCCTATCTCATCGATTCATTTTTCACAACACCTTGACGCAAAAAGATCTTGTGCGTTGTAGTTGGCAGTATGAGCAAAAATAAACGTCTACCACCGTACAAAGACCAGCCATGTACAAACTTAAAGAACAAGGAGGAGTTCGCATGGGACCTTAACGACGATTCAAGAATTCCAGCATTACAGCTACGTTCAGCCCAAAAACACGCCACCTCCATCGTGAATGATCAGAGCATGCGGCTAAGGTCACCGGAAGCTAGTTCTTTTGACTTTCTCTCCCACAATTCTCGTTCATATGAGTTTAAACGAAAGTTTGGCTGTGTTAAAGCAAGATCCTCCCAACGACTCCCAGATGGTCAACCAGCCGTTGTGTTCTACGATGATAAGGACACCGAGAGCTCGTCAGACGAGGAGTTCATCGCTTTTGACGCTGATAGAAACTCTGTGGCTGGGACGTCAGGAGAATGGCCTTTCTTGATCTACAAAGAAACTCGTAATGGTCAAGCTATTCGATTGTGCGCATCAACTTGCAAACAATTGATCAAACCACAACCCGATTGCAGACGAGTTTTTAAGACGCGTATGCCAGAACTAGGATGCTGTGAAAACTGTTTACATGCACACCATCACGTTCAACCAGGTCTTCAACGCTATTCACAATGGATACCATCCCACCAAGCGAAGCGATACGGCAGCAATGGACCACCCCGTCCTGAAGGTTACCTTACTGAGAAATTGCAGGCCCTAAGGATCAGCCCAGATTATAAGCACCGGCCGTTCACTCCTCAAAGAAATTCACCCCAGCGTTTTCAAACTCAAGGAGTATTTCAAAGCTGTTCACACGAGTCAAGGCGCCCAGACCATTCCAAATTGCAAGCTAAAGAAAGAATTATCAGCCCTTTACAGCAGCCCGAAACCCTCACGGGTAATCAAACAGCGGGCATGTTATTCACCCGCAAAGATGCCGACGTTATCATCCGAACCAAAGGTAAAATTAAGGACGCAGATCAGGCTACTCACACCAACACTACCCTAACCACCAAGCCGACAGTCCAGGTTATTCATACCATCCAACAGGTTACAGATGGCGACTTTATGGATACAATGGAGAACAGCTATGAACAGCACCACTTGAAAGAGCCAAAACGACGCCATTCTCATTCACAACGGCCAACAACGACAGACACCAATAGCGGCCCACCCAAGAGAATACCAAGGAATCGGAAAAGGTTTTCAATCCAGCCTACAGACAATCAAGAAAGTCCATACACACACCTATCAAATGACTCCTACCACCACATTCATGACACAAGAAAAAAACAAACTAATGGGATGTACGTCTGCTTAGCCAAAACCGGAAAAGGAATCCACAACCCATCACCAGTTGCAAACCAGCGTAATGATCGTGATTCAAGGCCTCCGCCAACACAGCAGTCTGCCAGAAGGAGGAATGGCACAGCAGTTTTACCTGCCATGTCAAAAGGACGTCAAAGTCGGTTCCGCACCATGTTATTTTCTCGT